CCTTGGAACATTGGTTTCTAGCCAAATTCCAATCAATGTGATTGTAGTCTTGATTATATAGCTCTTCCCTAAGAGATAGAACAATGTCATTTATCGGCCCGACAAATCGCTTCCCGTACAAATACGACATCGGCAGATACACCATCCGAGTGTGACACCACATACGCCCTACATTATATTTAATTTCAATTAATTGCCCCACAAAAGTACTCGCACAAAAGTATATATATATATATAATCAGTTAAATTACCTGGATGCACAGGAAGAAAGTACGGAAGAAGCCATATCTCCGGGGGTAGAGGGTTATTGCCATCCCATTCGTACACTCCAAGAATCTATACATATACATGTATATGTTGTATGTATATGACGGAAAAATGGACAAAAATAATTGACGAAAATAAAACGAGGATAAAAAATTAAATTACCGAGAGCCAAAATTTTCCCCATGAAGGAGTGTAGGTAGCACCACCATGATGAAGAATCCATGATCTGGCTTTGTGCATGGCTCCATCTCCACCGTCGATTTCTTGTCCGAGAATCCTTAACCCAATGTAATTTAAGGTTGTGCAGAACATGCTGCTCGACCCTTCTATATGCAATCCCCACCCTCCATCAACATTCTATACATATATACATACACACACACACACATCTATATATATGTTTTAAATTACGAAAAATTGAACTAGAAAGAGAACAATCATAACGCAAGTACCTGATGGTTGTATATATAACGGCATATCTCTCTTTTGTGTTCGTTCGGTAGGATTGTTTCTAGCATGTCCATTACATACAAACCTATAATCTATACTATTCACAAACGACGATGAAATAATTGTGTTAGTTTGTTCTGAGGGTGAAAAAAAAACATTTATAAACTGATACAAATTATATTAGTATTAATATCAGTATTAGTACTATTTCTGACCAGTTCTGGTAGAAAGAACAAAGGTCCACCATAATCACCCGGCCAGTGTCCATCTTCAGACTGAAGAGCCGAGTAAAATCTCAGTGCCCTTTTCAATGTGTTAACCACGGTTTCTTCGGTTATTTCTTCTTCGTTTTCTACCTTGGCCACCCGCGCCAAATCCGGTTGCCCGCAATAAGTCTCCTTCGCCAACTGCAACAATCATTAGAACACACAAAATAAAATAAAAAATGCGTACATTACGAACGAAGTAATGATCCGTTCAAAGAAGGAAATTAAATCGGATTCCACGGCACGTCTTGCTTAAAAAAAAATTAAATAACTAATACTGATCACCTGAATTCTCATTAGGAGATCAGAACTTTGTTTGATTTGATGACGGGTCTTTGTAAAATCGGCACGCGCTTTTTCAACCAGAGCTTGTTCTTCGGGTGTTCCTGGGATCGGATCGAATTCCCAAAACTGTCGTCCGACGTTATTATTGAAGCTCGTAAGAAATGGATCATCGTATTCATAATTATCCCCTTGAGAAAGTTTCAGCCTCCACATTTTTCTTAATTACCACCTTAATTATTAAACAACTGTTTTATAAGAATCAAGTCTTTAATCATGAGTTCATGACAAGTAGTGTTAAACTTCAGTGTAATAGAAAAATTAGGTAAGAATATTTATTGATTACATGCCCCCGCGCTCCAACTTTTGTCCAAATTATTAGCATGACTTACCTAATTAGTGTATGTATATATATGTATGCATGTTTGTGGCGTGCGCCTGAAAGAGTGAAGGTGCCGGGTTGGCAGGGCAGACCTAGGGAGTATTGGGTGGGGGCTAGAATTTTTTTTTTTGGACTAAAATGCTACTAAATTTAAACTTTGGGGGTTAAATGGTATAAATTAATAGATAAATAACATAAAATATTAAAATTTTCATTAAAAAAAGGTAAAAAAAAATTTCTGCAGGGGGAGGCCCCCCAAGTCATACCTTGGGTCCGCCCCTGCGGGTTGGTACGGATGATGAGTTGGGTAGTAACAAAATATGGCGAGTCGTAAAATTAGTGACTGATTTCCGACATAATCGAAATTCCTTGCTAATACATTATACTCCGTCACAAATCTACCACTAACCCATTAGTAAATTATAGTGACAAAAGTTTTCATTATTTGATTTTTTGTAGTGTCACGCAATTACATGATCGAGGTGATCAGGTAGCTGCAACATGTAGGATCCATAATATATGATAATTATGATCTATTAAGATTATGAAATATAAGAGGATAAACGTGTAATAAAAAATAAAAATAAAATTGGATAAGTACAAATTTGATGATTAAGACATCAAATAAAATTGAAAGAATGTCATTAAAAAAAAGTACAACTTTCAAATGTTATTATATTTTCGTTTGTGGGTTTTAATAAAGAAACCTGTAACTAAATCATCAAAAAAAAGAAAAAAAAGGAAAAACATGTAACTAAGCCCAAGAGGCCAATATGAATGTGGCCCAAGATCATATATTTTCTGAAAAAAGGTCTTCTTCATCCATCAGTTTGCACTATACATCCTTAAAAGTTGGCCCAAAATATTCCATTTTATAACGTCTATTTACGAAAAAACTCCTCATTTTTTAGAAACTACGTCCAACCCCTTTCAGTTGTAAATTTCTGGCATCAACCCCTATAAAAGGGTGTTAATGTAAGAAATCTACAAATTGCAGGAGTATATGTAATTATGAAAAAATAGGGGGGGGGGGGGGTTCCCTAAATAAACATTATGTAGGGGCCGGTTGTAATTTACACTATAATAGTATTATAACACATCAAAAAAGAAAGGAAAAAAATGGTTTAAAGTTACTATGTTGACCGGCCTAACACTGTAACATGACTGGTCAACATTATAAAAAGAAAAAAAAAATCAATGCATATCAATAGTGGTGGCAATAAAATTCAAAATTAAAGTTGGGTCAAGTGCCAAAGTTGGTGAATTGGTTAAATTGGGTATATTAGGGTTTTTTTAATGTTACTTTTTTCGTGTATTCTAACAGTATAATCCAATATGTAATGGCTCAATAAGTGAAGGCAGATTCTTTTCACAACTGCTCATCTATTCAAAAAACTTATTTAACTAAGTGGACATCAAATAAGATTTAATTATCTAATATAATTATGAAAGGTTTAAGTTTCGTACTCGTATTCGATCGTTAAATACGACGACTATACGAGAACGAAAAGCTGCGTGAAGTCTGCAGGTTTGAGCCCCATTGCTATCATTCATACACCTTCAATAAACATAATAATACATTAATAGTACACATATATCTTATTTTGTATTTAATTATCAAAGGAATCTAAAAAGGTTGTCTCAATTATTTTTCCTTGTATTTTTGTCTTTATTATTACAAAGTGATGTAATGGAAAGAACAAGCACCGTGCTTCATCATGATTAAATACGGACCATTCATTTCAATTTCATAATAGGAATGGAATATATAGTGATGGCCATTATCGAATTATCTAAATAAATTATACATGGTGGATATTTTCACATGCATATCTTTAATAAATTATACTTATCCTCATGATCGATTGATTAAATTGACAATTTGAAAAATAACAATTTTAAAGGTCTCGCTGATATAATGTCAAATTACGAGAAAAAAAATATTTTTAGGTAATTACAATTATACCCCTTAACTATGATTTTCTTATTTAAAACCTCTTCATTTAGTAGGTAATTTTGCACTGCAAAGATGAAGCCTGAAGGTGTAAGAAAATACATAGTTGAAAGGCGGTTGTAATTACTCAAACAGGAGAGGGGGTTCGTAATTTAGCATTATCTTAAGGGATTGATCGTAAATTACTCTAATTTTAAAATTAAAGCTCATAATACATTGAACTTTTGGTATTTTTATGAAATTGAGTTTTCAAATTGTAGTTAACAAAATATTTTCAAAAAGGAGATTCCTCAACATTTTATATAACAAGGAGAGACCATTATAAAAGTTCATCGCACGCCCCAACTTTTACTTTTATACCCTTTTTGCGTTAAAGTTATTTTATTTCCACTTTTACTAATTCCAACAAGATTGATTCGATTTTGATTACTAATATTGAAAAGAAAATAACACAAAGAATAAAATTTAGTTAAATGACAAATATTTAAATATCACGTGACAAAAAATAGAGACACGTCATTACTTTGTACAAACTGACCAATATGTACACAATCACAACTTTTTTTTAATAAAAAGATGCGTCTTCTAATTTTTGTTTTAATAATAGCAACAATCGATGAAGAAAAAAATATAGGAAAAACAAAAAAGCTGTATGTATTAAATATCAATGTATCATCCCATTTTATCTCCACAATTATATAAAATTAATTAAACCCTAATTATTAATTAACCACAATAATCAGACAATTGAACTTTTCCTCTGGCTTCATTAACTTGTCGTCATCATGTAAACATTCTTTGTAAAATTCGTATTGAAAATTGAAATATATAATTGATCTCCAATTGTCACGTGACAACAAAACGCCACCGTATTTGAAATTTTTGATTCCTTCTTTGTGTAAGCAGCTTTACTTTTTATTTTTTTGTCGTGAAGCTAAAGTCACGGGTCTGTGCACGCACGGGCAATCCTCGCCATTGACACACGCTTGCTCGCTGTGCACACGCCGCAATTCGCGGTGTGTAGCTACAACCTGCAGCATTGGCACTCGTTTCGTCACCGCCCCGTCACCGTTGCTTGCCTCGCTGTCACGCTAATGCCACGTGGAATTCGATTATGACTTGCAAATGACATTCTTCTTCAAAGAGCTTCTGTTTAACTGCTGCGCCTTATGTTTGAAAGAGACATCATCATATTTTCCATTTCTCGGACACATGAGAATTATTTGCTAATTAAAAATTGGTCTTTTTTTTTGAGTAATTTATTAAATATATAAACC